GTCGGTGATTTCGCTGGTTCCTGGTATGATGATTGCGTAGTGACCACGTGAAATTAGTTCTGGTACAACAATGCCACGAAAATAAACGAAAATAAACTATTTATATTGTTTCTTAAAGATGTGGATCTTAAAGATGTGGTATTTATGCGCAGAGTTCCGATTCTTATTTATTTGATACGAAGATTGCTCTTATATATATGGTACATTAAATGTAACCGAGTTTAGTGCACACACTGGCAAAATTCAAATTTCTCTTGTACACAATATTCTACTTTTCGAATAAAGTGGCCTGAATGCTCAATATTATTAAACAATTATATGGTACAATATTATTGACAATCTGCCTCTCTAGATAATTCAATATAACTTTTAACATAATAATTAAATTGTGTATAATAATTTAATTAATTATTGTTATGTTAATCCTTAATATTTAATTTTAATTTTATCTAATTGTCTTTATAAGTGACATGTATTGCGTTTGCAAAAATATTTATGATGAGATTGAGACATCTAATCATTAAGCAAGCTAAGATTTAGTGAAGACAAAATGTAAATTTCTAAACTGGATGGCATTTTTTTTTATGTGAAATCGATACATATCGCTATGATTTATAGGTAAGGTCAAAATTAAGTTACACTTAAGTTGTTTATTACATTTATAACAAGAATTAACTAAATGTTGCACAATTTGATTAAAAGTTATATTGAGAATTATATTGAATTGTTTTAGGAAGGTTATTAATGATATTGTACAATCAGGAGACATGATTTTTTATCACGATAATTATAACGTCAGAGGATGGAAAATCAAGTTTTGAAAAATAAAGTTCATACGCACAAAATGATGTAAGCTGGAACAATAAATATCCAACATAAAGACGCTATGATTTATGTAAGATACTCAATATTCCTTATATAATTTATGTTATTTTGTATGAACTTAATTGGTTACTATTACTCATTAAAAATTGTAAAATCATTACCAAATTGTTATTATGAAAAACTAACGATAACGATAAAAAATTATAAGAACGTCTTATTTTTCATTCCTGAATGCAAAATTATAACATAGATGTTACATTACTTTTATTTGATGTCAACTAGGTTTCCTTAATCAAAAGCTCTTTGAAACATTTATATCAGAAAAAAATGTTTGATTGAATTAACTGGAATTTTAATGGAAAATGAACGTTCCAGAATTCTGATTAACGATCTAGATAAAACTACTAAAAGTTTAGTAGATTTAATCAAAATTCTAGATTATTCATTTTCTACCAGAATTCTAGTTAATTCAACCAAACATTTTTTTCCGTGCACTTGTAAAATATTATTTAGTAATATTGAAGCTCCTTAACGCATGTAATCAACTTACAGCTAAAAATCGGAAATTGAGTTTTAATAAATATACCCAAAGGTGCATATTTTTCGTGTCATTGACACGATTCTCGCGGCACGTATGGTTTTACTCATCGAGAGAGAAGAGCCAGTCGCCGTCTGGAAAGCTAATTTTACGCCGTCTCGCAGTGAAGTTTAGAAAGACTGCGGTTCGACGCAATGACCCACAATGAGAAGAGTATGTCCACAAATAATCATCAAACCGCTCTTTTGTGCGTTCCGAAAAAAAATATTTCTTTATTCGCTCCTTTTTGCACGGAAAACAAAAGACCGTCACGAATACCAAATCGAACATAGCCGGTTTGTGTGCAAGACGAAAAACATAACACAAGACGCGTATCTGCATTTCCATTATCTTATTTTAATGCACTTTTTTTGTAAACTTGTCGATGCACATAGCGTCAAGATTACATAGAATGGCTAGATACGTTCACATTAATAACAAATATTCATGAAAAATAATTGTGACGCTTATACATGTGAGGATCATACATCGTCATCATGCATCTCTGAGCAGCGTCTCTGATAGAATCTAAAAAGAGAAAAGATATGACTACGGGATTAGAAGGTCGAATTAATGTTGCTATTCATATTTATTACGCTTTTAGAGGGACCAAAGTCTCCTTACAATATTTATACATATAGGGAGATTATTATTTCGGATTCCAAAAATAATGACCCACAAACATATATAGATAAGATTGCGACATAATTGTGCAAAATAATAGATAAGGAAGATTGCGACAAAAATACAAGATAAAACAAATTCTTTTATTGTTGCACCCACGCGCGCTTACAAAAAAAAAACGGAGTAAAGGAGGCCGTGAGTATCAATGCTGAGTCAGCCGTGAGTTTCCTTGTTTATGGACGGAAGTTTATGAATAGTTGTGGGAGAGAAGAAGGAAAGCCTTGTTTGGTGGAAAGTAGATCATGTGGTCGCGTGAAATGTTTGTGTTTATTATTAGCACAGTCGGACAGAATATCAAGAAAGATCTGCTTGTTTTGTCTCGAGAAACATGGCGCCTTTTCGGTCAATGAACCCAAGGAAGTTTAAAAATCCATTTCTATTTAGCGTTCTTACTAGCGAAGATTTCGCAAAGTCGTTCAGTTATGATCGCGTGTGATGAACAAATTGCAATCAATGCAAATTGGAGTTTTATTTGTGCAATATGAATTCTGAATTCTACATTAAAATTCTTGATTGGAACAGATCAAGAAAAACGGATCGACAAATAGATAAACAAAAGCGAAGTAAGACGAGATTCCAATTACATATTACATATGTTTTATTTATATTATCGACATATTGTTAATTAAACAGTATCTTATCTCATCCGTTTACCACGTGTTGAGAGATTGCAGAACTTTCTGTATTCCTGATCGCTTTTAATTTTTCTTGAACTCAGATCTTATAATGCCATAATAGCAAGCTCGATAAGACATCGGGAAGACAGATGCATCAGTGGCGATGAATAGTCATTTCTGAGGTGAATGGGTTTGAGCTGCATTGGCTGTCCTTTCTACATTTATCGAGAAATCGGTTCACGTCGGTAGTCTTTGCCCCGCAGAGTCACGGAGGTTGTGGCTTTGCAAACTGTTTCGCTATATGTAGAGTGGGGACCATCGTGACGATGTGGGACATCAGTTTTACCCGTTTAATTCTCGCGACGGGTCGCCGGCACGAACAGCTTTTCCTTGGTTCTCACATCGCGTCGGATTGTAGTATCGTCATTTTCATTATCTTCATCGTCGCCATCTTCATCATCGTTATCATCATTACGTTTGATATTGCTGTAAAATAAATAATATAATCGTGAATCTTTACAAAGACATATGAATCTATATAAAGACAGAACATTATAGAAGATTCTATTTCACGATATAGAAGTTCATGACTGATGTTATGCTTTATGTCTACGTTTTATGGCCGTGTTTTCAAGCATCTATATGTCAGACGCTGAAGTGTGCATTATTTCGTGTGATTGTGTTTTGACGAATTTATTGAGGCCCGTGCATTCCTGAATCATTCCTGGATACATGTCGTAACATTCATGTGATCTTTTGGTGGTTGGAATATTCTCTTGCCCAAACATAATTATATATGTCTGTTATCTTAAATGAACACAATTATATCTCACAACGAGTTAATTGTATAACATATTTTGGTACACCTTAAAAAGAAAGGGTCGAAATACCGTTCATCCTACCGTTCATGCTCGCGTTATAGACATGTGACAATTAATGACATACTAGCGATGAGAAGTCAATTTTACAGCATGGTAATATCTACCTCGATATTTCGTGGATATTCAATATTCCTGCTAGCATTGTTGCATATAATGTCAAGACACTGAAACGGGGTGATTGAACTCGGTAAATGGAAAGATAATTCGCATCTGTGGCATTGCGATATATATATATATAT